CCAAGATATTTTTTTGATGCAATTGATCCAATAAAAGCAATGGATGTGGCTGAAAAATGTTGTTTGCGGGGGTACTAACCCCCCCAAAACTCGTTCCCCCCATTTTCAAAGGCCAAAATGACCTTTTTACCCCTGCTCGAGGGGTACAACTTTGAAAAAAGTGGCAGACAAATTATGCAGCCTGATGCGGTGAGATGCAGGATGCGGCTTTGATACGAATAGATGCGGCGCATCTCTCCAAACCTCATATGTGGGAAAGTTCGATTTCCTGGGCAGCACATAATGCATGATGCGACTGCATATGCAGTGATGTGGTCGCATTTCAAAACAATGATTTGGGTCTAGCCGAGTAGAGTGCTCTGATGTCCAATTCGTCTACATAAGATTTTAATTTCCCTCATCAGTGGTCGATGCTAAATTTTGTGATTAAGATGGAGTATGCTTTGGAGGATTTTATGATTTTTTAATAAATTTTATGGATTGGAGCAAAAATTGAGCTTTGATAAATTGTTTTGGAGAAATAACAATGAAGGACTGTGCCCCGTATGGTCTACACGAGACTTCCAAATGGCAAATGGGTGCCACGTGTGGCTGACATGCCTCCATGTTATTGCCACATAGGCATGATATAGAGATGATGCCACCTCCTATGGGGATCTACTTGTCATTTGTGAATTGTTTGAAATTGGAATTTTGAATTATGGATTATTTTGTGAATTTGAGAAATTGCGTTTGAGCACATCTTTAATTTGTGAGATTGGTGGTTGTGTGCATATGGGGAGATCTTCTAGAAGGGGTATAGGGTTTGAAATTATGATTGAAACTTTAAGCGCATATTGAATTATAATATAACTATCTATCATATGTGGCATCATATGATGGGGTGCACATTACACCATAGTGACATGGAATTGGAGGGAATATTCAAATTCAAATTGCTTCTAAGAGTGTATAATTATTACATAAGGGCATACCCCTACTTATGCTTTTTCCATATTAATTCATTGAGTTATCATGGGCAATTATGGAAGCAAGTTGAATGTGATGTGAATATGTATTTAAGATAATAATGGGAAATTTGGAGTGAATTTAGGATAGGAGGATAATGATGTCGACTCTCATCCACTCGTCACGATGACATGATGATCGATGAGTGGTTAGGATCAAGCCCTCTCTCATACCTTGGATGACTTGTGTTAATGGCCAAGATGAACTCATCTATAAGCATCTACTATACAAGCCTATAAAAAGGTATCTTACACACTTATTTGTGGAGAGAATTCTTCTATAAGTGGCGCCCCCCCCCTCCCCCCCAACACCCCTAGAAATTCTCTCATAGGGTGGCACACCCCATGTAGACCTCTCTCTCTCTCTCTCTCTTTCTCTACATGTGAGTGAGATCTCAGTATGAGAAAGTAAAAAGTAAAGTGTGAGGATTAAGAGGGAGAAGGTGAAATTGAAGCTCCATAAAAGCTTTGTCTCAAGTCTTGAAGGTGAAACCCTAACTCGATTCAAGAATTCATCATCAAGCCATGCATCATTAGACATTTTTGGTGTCTGTAAACTTCTATTTACAACAAGAAAACATAGCCCCTTACCTCCTTGTTTCATGAGATTTTGAGTTCTATTTGATCCTTGAGTATGAACCCTTGATTCCTAGTTCATTGACTCAATTTTAGAGAAATTTTGATTGAGAATTCTTGAGCTTTAATTGATTGATTTCTCTGCAATTTTTGGGTTCAAATCAGTTAATTAATTCACTTTCTAGATGATTTAATTTTGTGAAATTTTAAGGGGAAATTATGCCAAAGTTTTCCATCTATTCTACTTAATTCTTTACCAAATTGAGATTGATTCGAGTCCTTTTCTTCCATGGTTTTTCCCACAAATGGATCCAAATTATTGAGCCTCTCTTCTGTTGAAATGTGCCACAACGTTAAGATTAAATGATGCTTAATTGCAATTTTAAACAATTCACAAATGCAAATGTGCCACAAAGTTGAGATTAATTGTTCTACCGAGATGTAGCTGCTGACGAGTTTGTGAAGAGACAGGGATTGTAACCCTATGTTTTCTTATACGTATGGAACTGAATCTTCATGTTAAGATCAGGGTCTCCACAAGGATAGGGGCGTGATTTGATTATTTAATTGTTTCTAGAGTTGAACACCTGGGAACTGTATTTCATGATCCAATGACACCGTGTACCGGTGTGCTTTGGAGATGCGTATCTGTTTGGTCGTTGGAACCAGTTTAGCACCTTTGATGGGTGGTAGATACGTAAGGCAATGGTGTCCGAAGAAGTCTGCAACATCCTGCATGCTTGAGGCACTTTTGACTCCTTTTTATTTGAAAGGGCATTAGTTGACATTCAAACTTAACGTCAAAGCACCATTTGTCTTTCCAGGACAGAATCACTATTGTGAGTTCCTTGGGTTGTGGTTTCCCCCCTATGTTTTTGGTTGGAAGAATAGCTCCTTGGGTTGTAAGGGCCATAGACCGAGGTTAAAAGACATGTAAATTACATAGTCATCAGGGAGACGTTGATACTCTGTGGAGACTGAGGACTGGCCCCAAATGCCCCTCACTGTGTTCGCTTTCTTCAGCAAACATCGGTTTCATAGCAGCAGAAAATGCCCCTTTGGATGGGCTTTCCACTAAATCTCTATGACAAATATGCCAAATCAAGTTGGGTCGACCTACTTCCAACTTGGGTTCCCAGACCCAAAAAAATGTCTTATCTGGAATTTGCATGAGGTTTTCACTGCCTCTCTTTTTAGCAGTCATCCCCTCATCCCCCTACCTTTCTGCTATCTTCTGGTCTCCTTTGTTCACCTTCTTCTAGTTAACGGAAGAGGACACAGTCACACTTTCTTTTGCGTAAGTGGCACAATCACATCAGTAATGTTAACATACACAAACGTTGATGCTATTGCAAAATCCATTAGTCAAATACATTTTTAACTAATAGAGAACAAAAGAAACCACTTCAATGCTCCCTATGAAAACAAAACACCATGAAATAAGGTCTTCCATAACAAATTACAACGAGATAAAGAATGTATGTGTTGTGTTAAAAGAAAATAACAAAAAAGTGCACACTGCTACATCATCACTATTCATGAAATTTTCTGATAAATTATCAAATATTAATTTTCTGACCTTTAATACAATGTTAGCAGTACAAAAAAAAATCAAATATTAAAAGTTATTTAGCATTAATCATTTTGTTCCTTGAAACATGGAGTACCAATGGAAAACAACAAAATGTGAACTGTAGGGCAATGAAAAGAAAACATAGGTGGTAGAACCTCATCCCTAGCTCTAGCTGGTTATCTGCCTCTTAACTTTTCCATATTCTCTGCATTGGAGTTCAGCCGGGAGATACTGCAGCGTCAACTCCTAAAACTAGAGATGCTAAAGGGCCTGTCTGGCTTGATGCCTGTAGCTTTGGTTTTCTGTTACACACTATGGGGAAGTCATGCTAGTATAAGGCAAATAGTATAAAGTAATATTTCTTTTATCATAGCAAAGAGTTTTAGTATTATTAAAAGAGATGAGGAAGAATGGAAGGGCATCAAAGAGATGTGGAAGTGGCTTCTCAATGGCGAAAGAAGAAGCTCACCCATCAACAATGAAGCTGTGCAATCTTGTACCTTTCCTGACTGAATACAACAGTGAAGCTGTGCAACATTTCCACTGGCCAGTGTATAAGCTTCAGCATTGGCTTTTCTCCTTACCTGCTTAAAAGAGAGGGGTTTGTAGGATCATAAGTGGCTAATTGTCTCAAACAACACCACTAAGCGCTTGGGGGAAGGAAGAGATCCATCAGCCCACGTAATAACACTAAAGGATTAGTTCCCCTTTTTTTTTTAAAAAAAATAGGAAAAAGATTAAAGCATTCCTACATGAGCTCTGGTGCCTACACCCTCTGAATGCTTGGAATAAACCACCAATGGTCTGATTGACTGTTCAAAGAAGGAAGCCCAGACTGTGAATGAAAATGTAGTTCTTCCCTCAAAGGCCATTAGAACACCCTGACCACCGCCCATCTGAATCTAGATTACTCCATTATGATCCTTCCCAATTAAGTTTCATTGTCCTCACTGGGTGTGGGAGTGTCCACCGATCAGAGTGCCGCCATCCACCATCCTTCGATGAAATCCAGTGTTTGGATTCTATGTGATTGTGGTCTCAATAGAGCCTAAACAACCACCCGGTCACAGCACCCCCTATGCAGGATCTTCCGCCTAACACCCTCACCTCTAACGATCTGATTACCTACTGGCTGATGACTGTCATAGTTGCCACTATTGGTAGCCTGACAAGGGATCATAACCAACCTTGAAATCAAGCAGGCCAGCATACCTGCTTTCACCCTAGTCACAGCCTTAAAGAGTTCCAATAATAAGGATGACAAAGTCATCGTGAAAAACCAATGGATGAAGAGGTGGTGCAAGGACTCAGCCTCCTCTCTTGACATACTGAACTATTGGACATGTGATTGCCCCTAGTCTCTGGATGTTACAGTTGGAGTACAGTCCCTGCTGGCTAGCCAGCTAAAAGCAAGGACTGTTATCACACCCTGGATGCTCTACACATGCCAGAAAGGAGGTAAATGTGAATCACATCCTGTAAAGCCAAGTGAAAAAAGCACACAGAGAACTCCCCCAACCAACCTGATCCAAAACCTCATGTCTGCACTCCTAGTGGCATGTGAACCTCCCCCATGGCTGTTGCAATACCTCTTTTCCAAATGAGAGAGAAAACATTGTTTTCCATTTTATGTGTTTATTATTCTTTTCTTATTCTCTATTTAGACATGGATAAAATTTTTTCCTCGCATTAGTCTCAAATTCATGCATAGAAAGTTTTTATGTTTTAATGGAGATGCAGAATGACAGCAATTTCGATATGTTTATGCATGCAATATGTTTATTTATATGTGTGATATCAATCAAACAAATTGACAGGAAGATTGCATTTGTTTGTCTATGCAGGGTTATTGATTCTTCTATTTTGAGCAATGAGATTCCTGCTGTTGTCCATGATTTGCCTCAGCTGGTAAAACAGGTATTTTTGCAACATAATTTTTGGGTTATGTGCTTTTTATGATGCAAGAACCACTTGAAGCACTTTTCCTTACGCATATACATTTAAAGTTTTTTGAAATGGTTTAAATATTTGAACAAATTTTTTATCGAATATGTATTCTTTTGAGGCATGTTGTAGACTGAGGACTCAGAAATCTCGTGGGAAGTTCTCTTAGAAGTTTTTCATTTTACTTGGAGGTCCTTTGAGAGGAATAGTTAAGAAATTCCTATGAGAGAGAATCAATAGTTTCTGGACATAGACCCTTCTGGTCCATTGACATATGCAATCCACAATCATGCTGTGCACCACATCGGATCTATAGGATGGGTTATATATTTTCATTCAATACACGGGTTAGTGTAGCCATAGTTACATGAGTGTCCTTACATGAGATACAAACTATCAACGTTGGCAACTATTCCACATCTCAATCCAAGGTTTGTAGAATTTCTTTTTTTGAGATTCTTATTGAGTATATTAGTGAAAATATCTTTATGTTCCACGAATGGAGTTCTAAGGAAATCCTTCAGATATTTTTCCTTAAGATGATACTTCGCTTCAATTGGTTTGGTTCTTTTGTGAGCTTAAAATTTTCAACAATATAAATGGCACTGATTTTTTTCACGGAATAAGTTAATCAGTCTGATGTTATCAATTCCAAGTCTTCCAAAGGATGCTTTGTGTTCAGCATTTACATTTGATTTTGCAGCACTACTCTCTTTCTTCCTTTTCAATACCACCAAATTCTAAGAATTAAATAATGATTGTTTGTTGCTCTTTGAGAACTCAATTTCTGAAAGCTAATGGAGCTCTAGGATGAAAGATTTATCCTTCATCTACAACGTTACTTGAATGCCTTAGGACTAAATAATGATTGTTTGTGGCTCTTTGACAACTCAATTTCTGAAAGCTAATGAAGCTCTAGGATGAAAGATTTATCCTTCATCTACATTGTTACTTGAATACCTTAGTACTAAATAATGATTCTTTGTGGCTCTTGGACAACTTAATTTCTGAAAGCTAATGAAGCTCTAGGATGAAAGATTTATCCTTCATCTACAACGTTACTTGAATACCTTATGACTTTACAAATGAAAGCATCTAATACTTTATATGACAGCACAATGTTAATTCTAGAGTTCTAGTAATAGTCAAATAAACGAACCTTTCTGAAAGCATCTTATGCAGATTTTTGTCATGAAAATGCTCCTCCTTTTCAGTTTCATTGTCTTAGTTTTTGACCCGATGTGGAAGGGTTGGAATCTTCTTTAAAAATGCTTATTTCCTTTCTTTGAGGTGACAATTTCTAGAGTTTGTCAGAATTGAGGTGCCTGAGGATTTTAAGTGCTTCTTGGAGATCTGCTTATAAGGATGGAGAGACTAACTGTGGACAGAAATATTTGCATCCGTTGAATCCATCAAGCCTCAATTTGAATGTACCTTAACAATCAGACTGTGAACTGTCAATCTGCATGATCATCGGTATTTTCTAGATCTATTTGTAGGTAATTCTTCATTCTCCTGACCTCAATCTAGATTCTAACAGTTCGTGGTTACCAAAGCAATGTGTAGTGTTTCTCTCCCTTTGAGAAAACCACCCTCATTGGGTAATGTAAATATTGCCACCGCCTACTTAATCATTCTCGGTAACATCGGCGATATGTTGTATTATCCCACTATAGGGCTAGTAAGCCTACTGCCGTGAATGTTTGCAACTCTTACTTTTGGGTTTAAAAGAGTCAAAATAGGATTATTTCTGGTAGTTATCCTAGGTTAGCATTGCTGCTGGCCATCATCAAGTTGTCTTTACAAAAGCCCAGAGAATCTTTTAATATGTTGCCAGAATTCATCATGGCCAAGACCCTCTAGGCCTAACTAACACCACACTTAACTCCCCTCTTGGCGAAGGGTCATTGTAAGAAGACCGTGCTGCTACTTTGCATAGACCTTAGGTTTGCCCTGTCCAGGGAAGTTTTGAGTCCCATTTCCAACAGTATGTGTCTGAAGAAACTTACTGCTGCCCCATCAGCGATTTCTCTATCCTCAAATAACCTATTCTAGCATTACTTTTCTAATTTCTACATTTTTGATGGAATACTCTAGCATAACCTTATCTATCACATTCTCTGCACTTAACTATAGGCCAATTTATTAAAGACCGCAGCTTTCATGATCTCTCTATCATGGAATACAGTACTTTTGTGGCCAATTAATCTTCTCTTGTCATAGCTAACCCCCAATAAGAAGCTCTCAAAGTTATTTTATGGCCATGCTCCTCTTCCACGAGCGCTCTTATCTTCTTCTCCGTCAAAATCTCAAAGGCTTGTGAGAAGTGCTGCTTTTCTATTTTCTACTGGGCAGAATAACTTTAAACCTTTAAATTCTGTTTCATCCATTGCAGCTTTTCAAAGGGAAGCCGGAATGTCTCATCTTTGCTTACTGTAATCCACTTGGTCTCAGTTTTATTCTTTTTCAAAAATAGGTGCTTGAACTGTATTGACTCAAATCTAAAGGAGAAAAGGTCCTACCTAACGTATCATTCTTTAGTAGTAGAGGCCAAGGGATAGAGAATTAGGGATAGCTGGATAGGTTTGTCTGGAGATTTTTCGATGTGTTCTGTCACACGTTCTAATTTAATGAAAACTGATGGAGTCTAGTTGTAAAGGAATCCCTTTCATTGTGCATCTCATTCATTGAAAGATCCAATTCATGCCAATCCATAAATTCTGAAACTTCTTCATGGTGGTTTTTGTTCTTGTACCTCTATGCTTCGTGATCCTTGACAAATGGTGTTAACCGTCCTTCTCTAATGCTTGACAACCTTACCCAGAAATTTTCTTCAGGCTTTGCTCTTTTAGGACCATATAGTGTTGTCATAGCCACTGAAACTTCAATCTCTGATGCTCATTGCTTTTACGCAGAGGCTTCTAAATATTTGTGGCTTTCCTCCACCTTCCCAAGAATTCAAAGAACCAGAGACATGGCCATTCTTCCATTTCCATCTGGTACGTGATAGATGGTCTCTCTGGATCTCCAATAGTTGTTCTCAATATCAATAATTGTCCCCTGCACCAGCATATTGTCAAGTGTTTCATATTGAATCCAATCCCTCACATGCCTTCTTTTGTTTAGATTATTCCAACTACCAAATATGCATCTCAAAAGATGTGTTCCTGCCCCTTCCAATATGGTTGCTTGTACACCACTTCCATAATAATTAATAATTTACTTCAACTTGCTGAGCTCCTAATTTTTCTTTATCCTTCAGAGAATTCCTTCCTGGAATCCTTTTGCATGCGATACTGCTTCGTTCTCACTACATTATATTCGCATTTGACGGCTTTCCAGTCTTGAAAATTGTCACTGTTCTGATGCCACCCATAGTTGTTGGAAATGCCTGAGATTCTGAATCGATCTAGGAATTGGAATCGCTTAATCGTGGCTGGTGAGAAGATTCCGGTTGTCAATATCAATGTCTATACATGGGGAATTGCGGGAATCAAGATTTGACCCAAATGGATTCGAGATCCCTACATATATTGAATCGAGGTTCTGTCCTCTTTGGAATTGAGTTTCTGACCTATTTGGAATCAACCCATATGGAATTGGGATTCCTTCATTATATAGAATTGAGATTCCTATATCTTTGGAATCGGGTTTCTGATTTGATGCTTCTCATAGGTTTTGAATTGTTTATTTTATCGTTCATCGCCCTATGTTTGTGTTTCTAATTTGATGGAGAGAGTATAATTATATGTGGAAGGATCTACTTGCTTTGAATTTGGCTTCACATTGGCCGAAAGTGGGAAGAATCCTATGGAAAGCAACAGTGGCAGCAACGCTTTGGATTCTCTGGAAAGAAAGAAATGCTAGAATCTTTCAGGGACAGGCGTGCCTAGCCCCTTCTCTCTTTCACAAGGTTACATCCCTAGTAACCTTCTGGGCGTCAAACCACCACCTATTCAAAGGTATCCCAACGAACTCTTTCCTAACTCAATGGGAGCATATCCTTCTAAACAAACCAAAGAAAAAGAAAATTTCAAGCGCTTGCAAACCCCCCCCCCCCCAAGGAGCAATCAAATTAACCTTTGATGGATGCTCTTTTGGAAACCCTGGCCATGCAGGTGGGGTTTTTAGAGATCACCAACACAACATCCTTTTCACCTACTCTGAATACCTTGGCATCCAAGATTCACAGTATGCTGAATCATTGAACTTCCTAAGAGGCCTGCAAAATTTCGATCGATCTTGGGGACAAAACCTATTAGTGGAGGGGGATGCCTGAAACATCATTTCTTGGGCATCCAGGAAAGCTATTCCCCCTTGTTATCTTGCGCCTCTTTATGATGAGATTGTACACCTTTGCAGGGATATACCTGTCTCACGGATGCATACCTCGAGGACGTTTAAAGAGGAGATTGTACACCTTTGCAGGGATATACCTGTCTCACGGATGCATACCTCGAGGACGTCAAACGGGCTCGTAGATTTGCTGGCCAAGGACGGAGCCAAGGCCCATGATGATGACTAGGCCCATACCACTTTTTTGCATTGGGCCGGCCACAAAGGATGAAGACTAGGAGTACCCCTCTACTGGAATGGGCAAATTTTTGATTCGCCTTTTTTGTAAACTCATTGTATACTTTGTAAGGGGGTAAACTTATAACCGCATTTTGTATAGGGTCAGTTGACCTATTCTTTTTTACCAGGAGTCCTGTCTAGTAAGGCACTCTCGACCTATCCCTAACAATTTGTACTCTCATTCTCAAAGCAATACAAATGTCAACATTTCTAAAAAAAAAGAATTATATGTGGAAGGATCTTGACTCATGGATCTCTTGGTTCGAGAAATAAGAGGATCAAACCGTTTCTTTTGACTCTTTTTCAAATTCAATAAATTCAACAAATGCAAAATCGAGATTCAACAATTGCGAAGTCAAGAATCTCTAAATATTAGAAACGATATTTTGTAAGTTTTGGAATCAAGATTCTGAAAATAAGGAATTGAGATTCTTGACTTTACAAAAATGGATTCTGTCCACATTCATTGTCAGAATCACATAATCGAGATTCCGAATCAGAATCGTGCCTTTAGTTGAGAGGTTGCGCCATTGCGGTAACTTTGGTGTCACCAATCCCTATGCTCTAATGTCTTTCTCCGCATAAATAAGCTTTATTCTCCACACGTTGCAGTTCAGTTCTAATGCTCTCTTCTAAGTCCTGATAGCAAACTTCTTAAGTCCTCCTTGTGGGTCCTTTCTGTTCTTCCCAAAGAGTCACCAAGCAGCCATCAGAATTAATTTTCCTATTTTATGGGAGTGGAAATTTCATCCTCCTGCCTTCTATCACTAATATGAGAGCTACCTATTGGTACTTGATGTTGGTTCCCATTCTCAAATTCTAAGGAGAAACATGCACATTCTTTTTGATAATTAGAGAGCCACATTCATTGAAAGCTTTCTCTGCCTGGATGTATAGAACGAGACCGGCAGCGTTTGTATAAAAGCCCTGTTTGGTTCCATATTCCCCTTGGTGGTCCCTGGGCATTCTGCTCACTTCTCTAATACCTCATGGTAGTTTCTTGCTCAATAACTTTCTTTTGGCTGACTTCAGGTGACTACTTGGATTTTGTTCCCCCCCTTTCCACCCCTTCCCTTCTAATTTACTCTGCAAACATGCACATATATCAACACTAGCCTTTATATATGTTTTATCTGATGTCATATCTTACAACATCCAAATAACCTTGATTGCAAGGAAGGAGAAATATGACGACTTAATAATTTTTTATGTCATTTGGTGTTCATCACTTCATCTTTCATCTAACATCAGATGTGTATGTTCCTATTTATACGCTTATTGGCCCCTTGCTCTCTCTTCATCTTGCACGCCATTGATGATATTCTTCCTTCGGTTTCACCTGCTGTATTGGTGCAACCTGTCCTCTATGTTATCATTTTTATCCCTTTCCTTTCCCCATCTTGTTTTCCTTGTATTCTATGTCTATTTTCTCTTGCCCTTTGTAGTTGTTTGCTTCTAGACCCTTCACTCATTGCCAGATGTAATAATAATACCTTAAAGGTATACCTGTTCCTCACCTGATACAACATTCTTGATGAATAATTTGATGCAATCTTTAAAAAAAAGATTGGTGACCGTGAGGGCCTATCCCAAAAACCAGTCTGGATCGACAGTCCAGATCCATGGATTAGCAGGATCGGCAAGATCTAACAGATCTGTGGATCAGCAGGATCGACAAGATCCGACGTTAAACAAATTTCAAAAAATTCTAAAAATTTCTTAAAAATCTAGTGTTTTGGGTTCCCCCCCAAAAAAATAGTGGTATTGCATTATTATTTTTATTATTTTACAAAAAATACATAAATATTGAGAACTTATCTCATGTCTGAGTATTTGTTATCTATTACACTCGAATCGAAGAGGCAACACATTGCAATAAAATGGATCTCTCTAACTCAAATTTTGAAGCGTACAATAGTTTATCTTTTTTTTTTGATTTAATAGAAAGATTTAATAGATATAGAAAAAAACTATGACCGTTACAATGACCTATCATGCTTTTATTAAAACAAAATAGCAATTGGGGAAAAAGCTTAAACCCTCCATTTCTGCTTTCTCACCACACATGCTTTCACTATTCCAAAGTTTATTTTTTTGAAAGTTTTTTTTATTTGTTGTTAAGTAAACAACTTCAAATATCAGATTAATTAAATCATTTCCAAGGTCTCGCCATATGGTTCCAACAAAACCCTTCCTTTTTTAACCTTAAAACAATAGAAAAAATCCACTGCCCCTATCGATATTTCCATCGTTGGTAGGGGCAAAAGATCAAGAAACATGCCATTGCCATGCATTTCAACCACATCCTTCTTGAGCTCATCGTGAAATGTCTCTCTAAACTGCCCACTACATGAGATTTAGCAAATAATAGTATATGTTGCCATGTAAATTAATCTAAGGTGTAATACTTAGTATACATAGAAATATAGAATTGGGGACCATGAATTTGCAGTCACATTTTAATAAAATTGAAAAAATAAATTATATTGGCAATGAAGAATAATGGATAGTGCAAGGCTTAGGTTTAGAGGTCGAAATCAGCTCTACTTATTGTCCGGTGGTGCGCAAATATTCATACCTCAAAACAAAAGTTTTTTCACCCCAAAACAAAAAGTGGCAGAGAGAAGGTGCAAGAAGAATTGTCCCACATCGGGAACAAGAGGGAAGAAATGGTTGCCATGCTTGTATAAAAGTGGTTCCCACTCACGTTAATAAAACAAATATAAGGTCGTACGCTCGCATGGGGTAAAGTGTATTTATTTGTTTGCAGTGGTTGGGTTAAAAAAATTATCAAATATGGGGTGGTTGCCACCTTTCTTTTAATTAAAATTTTTTTAAAATTTCTAATAAAAATATTAAGAAAATCGAAGAACTGTTGAGTCATCTTGTTTACTTGGTGAGCTGATCAGATCCTTTATAGAACCGGCCAGTTCTGTCAGAGAATGAGATGATTCCCTATAGAATTGGCCATTTCCTGATATACTACGGTGACCAGCATAGTTCTATTGATTTCGGATCTAGATCGGGTGATTCCGATTTAGATCGATGGTTTTTAACACCTTGATTTGATGCAAATACTGGACAGCTGAATCTTTCTCATGTTGTCCTACATTTTCCACAAAGGGGGACCAATATTTTAAAAAAAGAAAAGTCACCACAAAAAGTTGGACCACTTGACTTGAATTTCTGTGATGGCCCTTGGGATATATATAGGAGAAGATTGCTAGAAGAAAACATTAGATTTTCTTCTACTTGAGTATTCTGAAGTAATTGAAATCTTCATTCATTGCTTTAAACACGATTTTTTTTTGGTAGATATGTGACCATAAAGACGATCGTCACCTTCTGCCAGCTATGATGGTGCTTATGTTTTCTGTGAAGGTATTTCTGTTACTTGAGCTATTGTTTGATATAAAGTATAGAATATAATTTCTTATGCATGCCTTGTTAATTTCTTTACTTACATGTTTTTGGTTTTATCCTGTCAGGGAGGTTTTAATTTGAAGTCCGTTTAGTACTCTTCACTTGTTTCTCTATACTATTTACCTTTCTATATGCTGCATGGTAAGAGTTCTTTACTGATGGTTACCTTCATTAGTTCAGAATGCTTGCAGCAAGGGATGGTTCCGTGTTCTGGACACTGAGGAACTACTTGTTTTGGTAAATGAGGTCTGTTAGCTTGCTATATATGCATGCTCTCTCATTTCATAGAGAAACACGTTTGAGAGTTATATTACAAAGTACGGATCTTGTTAATGTTGCAGATTTCAAGTTGCTTTTGTAATGTTGGGAACAACATTTTGCCATCAAGCAGTGCTCTTAATATCATTTCAAAAATTATTCCCAGGTGCGTCTTGCAGTCATTTGAACAATTTTTAAGTCAATAGAATTGCTTTATATATTGTAGAACTCTGGTGAACCTAATAGAATGGCATGAAGTCACTGTGGGTTTTTAGTCATTAATTAATGCTGGATTGCTCATGTTCTTGATTCTTATATATTAATGTATATTGTTGCATGCATGTATACCTACATGTACATGGTGTGATACCATACATATGGCCTGTTTATAAATATAACTTGAAATCTTACCCAAAGATACAATTACAATGGGAAAACAAAGGGTTCTCATAGTAACAAGTACTAGGGCTGTTTTTTTTTTTTTTGAGGAAGTGTTAATTTTTATAACTGAAAACAGTAAATTACAGTAAAATATTTAAAGAAGGCATCCTACAAGATGGGGGCTCAGAGTACAAGAGATAGGGGTTGGGAGAATAGACAAAAGATGGAAAAAATATAGAAGAAGTCCAACATAAAGGGGAAGCACAAATGGGTGAGACTCTGCGGAAGACTGGCTGTCTTGATGTAACGACTCTGTGCAAGGTGGCACTGGGAGATGGATACGAGAGAGGAAGGTGCTGCTTGGATGGACCTGCAGGTGAGCTGAGAGTCCATGGAAGTGGAAGTCTTTAGTGAAGAGCCCGTTCGTCTAAGGCCTGCAGAGGTTAGTTAATCTAGACGAAGTGGGGGAGGAAGAGATGGAGACGGGGAAAGAGGGGGGCTGAAAGGAAGGCAAGACGAGCTAGAATGGAATAGAGGTAAGAGGGGGAGAAGCGGTGGTGAAGAGAGGGTTAGAAAAAGCAGATTGAATATGACAAATCAGCCTTTGGTCTGCGCATGGATGATTAAAATTGTGTGATTTCCACAAACTTAAAGTGTGGGCTACATGGTCTCCTACCGCCTCAGCAGTTCCTCTTTCAACATGATTGTGATTCCACTTATACAGAAGGCACTGTCAATAATATTTCTAAGATGCCAAGATGTCTAAGAAGGGTGAGGACCTTAAACTTTCCCTTAACTCGTCCCAAGCTCGGGTAAACGAGGTGGATTGTGTTAGGTTGACAGCCAATGTAAAACTTTGTCAAAACTTTCTATGAATCTTGAATCCACATTATCTGCTTATGCTAGGGCGTTCCCCGTAAGCGACGTGCCGTACTGAAACCCGGGTACAATGAGAATGAGCAACGGTTAGCTAGGGTGTTTCCCGAAAAAGACGTGCTACGATGTCACCCGGTTGCAGTAAAAAATAGGCAAGGGTTCCCGTGACATTTTGGACTAGCGTGGGTAAATAAGCTAGTTTAAGAGAATAGGATTCGCTTAGCACATGGAATGTAGGAATGCTTACGGGTAAGAGTATTAAGTTAGTGGATACAAAGCGACGAATGACAGTAAACATAACTTGTCTACAAGAAATTAAGTAGAGAGGGGAAAAAGCTAAGGAAATATATGGGTATAAACTTTGTTATACAAAAAAAGATAATAATAGATATGGTGTAGGCATAATAATAGGCAAGATTTAAAAGATAGTGATTGGGCAACGATTAAGTCATGAAACGAGTGTATTAGAAAACCAATTTGGTTTATGCTAGAGAGGTCAACAACTGAGGCTATTTTCCTATGTAGGCAATTGATTGAGAAGTTTAGGGTGAAGGAAAAAGACCTGCACATGGTCTCTATTGATCTAGAGAAAACTTATGATAGAGTACTTCAAAACTTGATTTGGTGAGTGTCAAAAAAGAAAGGAGTCTCCAGATACTATATTGACTTGGTCAGAGATACTATATTGACTTGGTCAGAGATATTTACGTGGGAGCGCTATAACTAGTGTGCGAACAGCTAGTGGAGAGACGAGTTTTCAGTGACAGTTTACATAAGGGGAAAGCATTGATTCCACACCTCTTTGTCTTAATAGTGGACAACTTAACTAAGCACCTATAAGATGAGGTACCGTGGTGTATATTTTCACGGATGACATAGTTTTGATTGATGAGACTTGAAATGATATCAACGCAAAGTTAGAATTGTGGAGGAATTCCATAGAATCTCAAGGTTTTAAAATTAGCCGGCTAAGGCAGTATATGGAATGCAAGTTTAGTAATAATTGAAGTAGAAACGAGGAAGTAGTTAAGATGGTGGCTAAGAAATACCAAAAAAAGTGCACTTTCAATATCTTGGGTTGATAATCCAGGAAAATGAAGAGATTAAGAAAGATGTCACGTATAGTATTAGAGCTGAGTGGACTTAGTGGAGATGTGCAACCAGAGTTTTATGTGATCGTAACATACCAATGAAGCTGAAAGATAAGTTCTATAGGACAACTGTGAGACCAGCTTTGCTTTTCGGGGTGGAATGTTGGGCGGTCAAGAAACCACATAACTATAGAATGAGTGTAGCCGAGTTGAAGTTGTTGAGATGGATGAGTAACATGACAAGAAGGGATATATTCAAAATAAATACATTAAGGAAAATTTAGGTATGGCACCAATAGGTGATAGGATGAGAGAAAATAGACTTAGTTGGGTTGGCTATGTGCAGCATAGACCTATTACAACACCTTTTAGGGGGTGCGAGTTAGTTCAAGTGGAAGACTAAAAAAAAACAAGGGGTATGCTCAAAAGGACATAGTTGGAAGTAGTGAGACAAAGATGGAGACTTATGGTTTCATTGAGGTTATGACCCTTAATAGAGTAGAATGACGGACCATGATTCATATAGTCAACCCCAATTAGTTGGGAAAAGACTCTGATGATGTTGATGATGACGATGACTTCCAAGATGCTAAGAACGCAGCCTTATTAGCATTAAACAAACGATCTTGGTGTTGTTACCTTCTATGCTCCTATCAATAAGCTCTCCCGTAGCATTTATCTGATCTCGTTAGCTGAAGTATTTTATAATTCTCTGTTATGCTTATTCTTGGTCATCCTCTTATTTGTTCCTTAGAGCATTGGAGAGAAGTAAATTCACTGAGGTAGTGGGATGAAAAATAATAGAAGATAAGTATTTCATATCTATTGATATTTGTCTTTGACAAGAATGTATCAAAGTCCAAAGTAAAATAGCAAGGAGATAAATTGTAGTTAACCTATTTCTGACACTCCCTTCAAGCTGGGTGTATGCTTGTGCAATGGAAACTTGGAAGAGCAGTTCATGTCGATCTTTCGCTTTTGGTTTATAATGGAAGGAATGTAATATGAATAATCTTCTTAGCGAGCACTTTTTTCCATATAACATTATAGAATCAGCTTTAAAGTGTTCGGTGTTAGCATGAAAGATGGGCTTCTCCACCAAAGATCGTGCAAAATTAATGGTGTAGTGGCTGTGAGGCTTGTACCTCATACAAGAAATGCGGCCAATTATGCTGTATAAAATGCTTCTCAACATTGGAGAAAGCTCCAATCCGATTGTTTCTTTGCTATTTGGGCCAAAATAGTCACAAAAGGTGGTCTAGTCAAACTACCCTAATTAAAATTATAATATGCAAAAACTTGAAGAAGGTTATTTTTAGAATGGTAAAGGCCATGAGATATTATATATTTCAAAGTACCTTATGTGTTATTGCTACAAGATGGGATCATAGCAAATCTAACGAATTGTTATGCAGAGGTCTTGGTGCATAAAATATCTAGTAATGTTGTCTGCTATGTTGGGGTTTTGTGGCCATTTAAAGGCCTTACAAGAGCATGTAAAACTATGACTATGGTGATATGATAACTCCAGTGGGAGTTTGGTCCATAGGGACCAAAGGATTATTGTCCAGAGGAGCCGAAGTTGGTAATATTGATGCCAAGACTCAAACTAGGCTTGACAAGCTAGGCCTGAGTTCTAAAACCCTATGCGACCTTGGCATATAACACAACTTGAGAAGTGTTTGTAGGGTTAGCCTTTGATGAAGTCGGAGAGATGCCCAGGGTAGTTGGCCGAGGGACTTAGTGACCCTTGTGTGTGATTGGTAGGCCAGAAGGGATAAGGGCCAAATCCTCATCACACGGCATATACTTATGATAGCTATATAGGGAAGTAGGTACCATTGAGGGTGTTACAAGTACATGTGCGAGAGATAGCTCCTTGCATCAGTTGTGATGAGTGTGTACATGTCTGTATGACCTAGGCTTGACCCTAGGGGAACCTATATTCCATAAACTAGGATTGTGTTCTCATCACCTAGTGGCTGGCTTTGGTAGTCCAATCATGAATTCCTGTGATGGACTGTGGGTCATGAAAATTACTTGGTCAATTTGAGAAAGCGATCACACTCACTAGTAAAGATGGAATGCTTCAGTTTTTTCGCAGTTTCATTCACAAAGTTGGATCCGATTTCCATCAAAGTAATTTTAGAATAATTAATTTTGTTTTAAATGATTTTTATAATATTAAAATAAGTTTTTAGATATCTCTGGATATTTTATTTTATCAAAATTGATTTCAAATTAGCTAAAACTGAATTTTCATGTATTTAAATATTCATAGAGGAAAATAAAATGCTCAAGTATGTCTAAAAATCATGTTCTTTCTTCTAAAAATTATTTAATGTTGTGGGGGGTCAAAATTTATTATGGCCCACTACATTAGGCCCACTTTGAATGGGGCATGGGCCCCACTATGCTTTCTATAGGTGGGATGCCCCACTTTCACGTACTTTTTATGAGGTGTGGCTCGTTGTATAAGCCACCTAATTGATTTGAGAATAAAATTGAAAGATTGATTGAAATTAAAAAGAATATTGTAGAATATTTTCTCTACACAAAATATTTGATATGATTAGGTTAAGAAAACTGAGGAATAAGGTTCTAACACCTTCCATTTGATCATGCTGGCTAATCTATGGATTGTATGGCTAAGATCTCTCGCCGCACATGTTACCTATGATCAACGACCTTGATCGAATCTCCATAAGGATGTTTAAACGCTAAACCCTAACCCTAGCCTCACTACTATAAATATATCTCAACGGGTCACTATAATAGAATAGCCTAGAGCTCTCTCTGTCCGCCTCATAGGTGGCAC